ACGAGCCTACGGATAATGATGTTTTTGCTACTCTTACACCAGATCAAAAGATAACTTTGAAGGATTCAAGAAAAAGAGACAAGAAGGCTCTCTACCTCATCTATCAAGTATTAGATGATGACGGTTTTGAAAAGATTTCGAGTGCAAGCTCTAGCAAGGAAGCGTAGGAGAAGCTGCAAACCTCTTACAAAGGATCCGAGCAAGTGAAGAAGGTTCGTCTCCAAACATTAAGAGGTGAATTCGAATCCTTACACATGAAAGCATCCGAGTCGATTTTAGATTATTTCTCAAGAGTAGTAGATGTTTCTAATCAATTGAAAAGAAATGGTGAAAATTTAGAAGATGTGAGGATAATAGAGAAGATACTCCGTTCATTGGATCCCAAATTTGAGCACATAGTCGTGACGATTGAAGAAACTAAAGACTTGGAAGAAATGACGATCGAGCAACTCCAAGGATCATTGCAAGCATACGAAGAGAAGCATAAGAAGAAGCATGAGTTTACTGGGCAACTCCTCAAGCTACAACTCAAGGATATGCATGAAAGTCAACGCAATGATAGAAACCAACGTGGCCAAGGCAGAGGCAGAGACCATGGACGAGGTGGAAGTCGAGGATGAGGCTGGAATTACAGAAACAACAATTCCAACGACAACTATGAGAAAGGAGAAAACTCAACACGAGACCGTGGAAGAATCAATCCGAACTCAAAGTATGATAAATCTCAAGTTCGATGTTATAATTGTCAGAAGTTTTGGCATTATGCTTCAGAATGTAGATCTCCCAACAACAAAATTGAGGAGAAGGCCAACTACGTGGAGGAAAAGACAGATGGCAAAGAAACTCTTCTTCTAGCACGAAAGGAAACTGATGATGGCAAAGCAAATTCCTGGTATCTTGACAGTGGTGTAAGTAATCACATGTGTGGAAGGAAAGACATGTTCGTGGAGCTAGACGAGTCAGTAAGCGAAAATATTTCATTTGGAGATGATTCCACAATAGCAGTGAAAGGGAGAGGTAACATTCTTATACGTTTGAAACATGGAAGACATCAATTTATTTCAAATGTCTACTATGTGCCCAATATGAAAAGTAATATCTTAAGTTTAGGGCAACTGGTAGAGAAAGGTTATGATATTCATATGAATAATTATAATCTTTCTATAAAAGATGATAAGAATAGCTTCATTGCTAAAGTGTCGATGTCAAAGAATATAATGTTCTTGATCAACATACAAAATGATGTTGCAAAGTGCCTGAAAGCTTGCTACAAAGATGCATCATGGCTTTGACATCTTCAATTTGGGCATCTCAATTTTGGAGGCCTAGAGCTACTATCTAAGAAGGAGATGGTGAAGGGACTACCTCGCATCAACCATCCTGACCAGCTTTGTGAAGGGTGTCTAGTCGGGAAACAATTCAGGAAAAGCCTTCCAAATGAGTCAGAGCCAAGAGCCAAGAAGCCATTTGAGTTTATCCATATCAATGTGTGTGGACCGATCAAGCCAAACTCTCTCGGTAACAGTAACTATTTTCTTCTCTTCATTGATGATTTTTCAAGAAAAACCTGGGTATATTTCTTGAAACAGAAGTCAGAAGTTTTTGAAGTCTTCAAGAAGTTTAAAGCAGCAGTAGAGAGACAAAGTGGTAGAAAGATCAAAGCAATGAGATCCGACTGAGGAGGAGAATTTACTTCCAGTGAGTTTCAAGAGTTTTGTGAAGCAAATGGAATTCGTCGACCAATGACAGTTCCTAGATCCCCTCAGCAAAATGGTGTGACAGAAAGAAAGAACAGAACAATCCTCGACATGTCACGAAGCATGCTCAAAAGCAAGAAACTACCCAATGAATTTTGGGCAGAAGCAGTAGCGTGTGCAGTCTACTTGATAAATCGATCTCCAACAAGAAGTGTATGGGGAAAGACACCACAAGAGGCATGGATTGGAAGAAAACTTGACATTTCCCACTTGAGAACCTTTGGAAGTATAGCCCATGTTCACGTACCAGACGAGAGAAAAACGAAGCTTGATGATAAAAGCGAGAGTTTTTTCTTTATCGGCTATGATACAAATTCGAAAGGTTACAAGCTGTACAATCTAGACAATAAGAAGATTGTGATTAGTCGAGATGTGGTTTTCAACGAAGAATGAGGATGTGATTTTAACTCTCATGCAGATGACTTAAATTTCTTTCATCGGTTTAAAGAAGATAAACTGACAATGAGGGAACAACTAGGTGAACTTCAACAAGAGCTTGAAACTCCACCCACTTCACCAACATCAGCCACTCAAGGAGACTCATCACATTCGTCATCGTCAAGTGGAAGTCAAAGTGAAAGAGTTGTGCAACGTACAAGAAGCCTTAGAGATCTCTATGAGGTAACTGAACGACAAGATAATCTTACATTATTTTATTTGTTTGTCGATTGTGAACCAGTGAGCTTTCAAGAAGAGGTACAAGAAAAGAAATAGAGATATGCGATGGACGAAGAAATCAAGGCCATCGAGAAGAATGACACATGGGAACTTACCTCACTTCCCAAGAGACATAAGGCGATAGATGTCAAATGGGTGTACAAAACAAAGCAAAACGCCAAAGAAGAGATTGAAAGGCACAAGGCGAGGCTAGTTGCTAAAGGCTATAGTCAAAAGGCTGGAATTAACTATGATGAGGTATTTTCTCCTGTTGCTCGATTGGAGACTATCAGACTAGTCATTTCTTTGGCAGCTCAAAATAAGTGGAAGATACAACAAATGGATGTAAAGTCTGCCTTCCTAAATGGAGTTCTTGAAGAGGAAGTCTACATTCAGCAACCATCAGGCTACGAAGTCAAAGGGCACGAAGACAAGGTGTTGAAGTTGAAGAAGGCTCTTTACGGGCTAAAACAAGCACCAAGGGAATGTAATAGCCGAATCGACAAGTACTTCCAAGAGAATGACTTCAACAAGTGTCCCTACGAGCACACTCTATATATCAAGATCAAAGATTGAGATATTTTGATCGTGTGCCTCTACGTGGATGATTTGATCTTCATCGAAAGCAACCCAAGCATGTTTAATGAATTCAAAGATGTGATTATGAAGGAATTTGAGATGACAGACATGGGGCTCATGGCGTACTACCTTGGCATTGAAGTTAAGCAACAAAATGATGTAATTTTCATTTCACAGAAAGCTATGCAAAGAAGATCCTGAAGAAGTTCAAGATGGAGAACTGTAAGTCAATAAGCACACCGACAGAATACGGGATCAAGATGTCCAAACATGAAGAAGGCGAAAGTATAGATCCAACATTCTTCAAAAGTTTAGTGGGAAGTCTACGCTATCTAACTTGCACGAGGCCTGATATTCTCCACGCAGTTGGATTGGTTAGTTGTTATATGAAATCTCTAACAACCACCCATTTTAAAGCCGCAAAGAGAATTCTTCGCTATCTGAAAGGTACAATTGACTTTGGCTTGTTCTATTCAGTTTCTAATGATTATAAGCTTGTTGGATATAGCGACAATGATTGGGGTGGAGACATAGATAATCGAAAGAGCACTACTGGATTCGTATTTTTCATGGGAGATACTGCTTTCACATGGATGTCAATGAAACAACCGATTGTCACATTGTCCACTTGTGAAGTAGAATATGTTATTGCTACCTCATGCGTTTGTCATGCAATTTGGCTTAGAAATCTATTGAAGGAGATATGTTTGATACATTAAGAGCCTACCAAGGTTTGTGTCACAACAAGTCAGCCATTACCTTAGCAAAGAATCCAGTATTCTATGATCAAAGCAAGCACATCGATATTCGCTACCACTATATAAGGGAATGTGTTGTAAGAAAAGATGTGGAAGTTGAATACATGAAGTCACAAGATCAAGTTGCCGATATTTTTACCAAGCCACTGAGCGAAGACTTCATAAGATTAAGGAACTTACTAGGAATCACAAGATCAAGTTTAAGGGGGGGTGTTGGATCATAAACTTGATCCATTATGGGAGCCTAAACCCAAACCCAAACTAAAACTAAATTGATGTCATTGCTTACATCAATTAGATGAAGTTGTCATTGCTTACATCAATTTAGTTAGGTGAGAGTTAGGTATTTGTAGACTTTAATGGTTTAAATTATTTTATTTGTGTGGTGTAGGATTATTCTTGAGTAGTATAAATACCCTCCCTTTTTAGTTTAAGCATCTAGAAAAACTAAGAGCTTCTAAGTGAGTGAAGAAGCAAAGTCTTATAAGAGTGAGTTGTAGTTCTTATTTTTGAGTGAGAGTGCTCTTGCAATATTTGTTTGAGTTTTAATAAAAGTTGTTTGTGTGAGTGTTTTATTTCCAACACAGCCAAGGCCTTCGGCTTGAGGCCATTGATGCTGCTGCAAGACTAGCTGGTTCGCTAGTTGTGTTCTTTCTCCTTGGTCTCTACTTTGCCAAGCGGTCCAGGTCGATTTACCTCGTCGACTTCGCTTGTCACAAACCTGAAGATGATCGTAAACTATCATCGACTCGTTCATGAAGATATCGGAAAACAGTGGAGCTTTCACGGAGGAGACGCTTGAATTTCAAAGTAAGATTCGACTCAGCCTGGTTTAGGCGACGAGACGTATATCCCTCGAGGAATAACATCGAGTCCACCGAATCTATACATGGAAGAGGCTCGAGCTGAAGCTGAATCTATCGTGTTCGGAACACTCGACTCACTTTTTGAGAAAACCGGAGTCAAACCAAAGGATATCGGTATCCTTATCGTGAATAACGGCTTATTTAATCTAACCCTATCTCTCTCATCCACGATAGTCAACCACTACAAGCTACGTACTAATATCAAGAGCTATAATCTTTGAGGAATGGGGTGCAGCTCCGGTCTTATATCGATCGAGCTCGCTAAAAACCTCCTCCATGTCATTCCGAACACGTATGTAGTAGTGGTAAGCACCGAGAACATCACCCTGAATTGGTATTTTGGGAATGACAAGTCCATGTTTCTATGAAATTGCATATTCCGCATGGGTGGAGCCACCGTGCTTTTGTTGAATAAGTCCCGAGACAAAGTTCGTTCCAAGTACGAGCTCGTTCACTTGGTTCAAACCCATATGGGTGCGGATGATGTACATTACAACTGCATTTACCAAAGAGAAGATGGAAAAGAGATTGTTGGGGTTTCTTTGGCACGTGAACTAATGGGCGTGGTTAAAGAGGCACTGAAAATCAATATCACCACTCTGGGTCCATTTGTATTACCGTTGACAGAACAGTTCATGTAATATCCTCAATACCGGGTTAGTAACCAAAGTGTGAGATTTTAAATTTCAGTGACTAAATTAGATAAATTGAGAAATTCAAGGATTTAATTGAAATATTTGATGTAGGATGAATTAGAAAATGAAGGAAGAAGAAAGAGGTAAAGGAGTCATTGAACAAGGAAAATAATTAAATATTATTTGGGGTTATTTTATAACCCATGTGAAACATGTGTAGGAAACAAATGTTTCAAGATAACTCTTCTTCCTTCTTCTCCATCGTGAAGCAACCCAAGCCAAGGTGAGTTTGATTTCTTTTGGTTAATTCTTAAGATTAAAGTATGGTTTTGATTAAGGAAGACTTAGGAAACATGATGAAGATAAAAAGGGTCGTAGAAACTCAAAAAGTTGTAAGTTATGGAAGATTAAAGGGAAGAAGTGGATAAGTGAAATTTTGAATAAGGATGTATAAATAGATTTAGAAGGTGAAATTGACTTGTCATAGGTGTGACTAAGAAGCTATAAGTGTTAAATCAAAGTTTGGATTACATGGAAAATTTAGTAAGATTCTTAGTTTTAAGAATTTAAATGAGATATAGGAGATAATAAGGTGTTGGAATGATAGAAGTTAGTTAAAATGATTGTAGTTGAGTTGGGTGATATAAAAGAAGTTTTATATAAGGAAATTTAATGAAAAGTTGTGGAATTTTTGGGTGAAAAAGTCTGATCTGAGCAGGGTGTATCGGTACACTATAAATGAGTACCGATGTACTAAGATCAATTTTGAAGGTGCATCGATACATTAAGGGGTGTATCGATACATGGGAATTTCGAATTGGATTTGGGTACACTCCTAAAGGAAAATAGGAATTTTAGCTGATTAAATCAATTTAAGTTAATAGCATCGAAGTATAAGGTTTAGGCTTCTGATAATCATCTTGAAAATTATATTTATATAGATACAGAGCCTAAACGAATTCCGGAACAAGTGACAAGTAAGATTGATCGAGGGAAAGACAAGGAGACATAGGTGAGTGCATATGCATAACATGAATATAATAGTATATTTAGTTCTAGACTTGTGATAAGTCTAGATGTAATATCTTGATACATGATTACATTCCATATTATGATACATGACATGAATTTATATTATATGCATTATGTGACAATGTTCTAAGGAATATGTATGAAAAGTTTACATGAGCCATGTGATAAGGTAAGAATTTATATGTCTACGAGATATAAACTATGTGAATTGTGAAAGCCCATGTTATGTAGATGAGAACTATAGGTATAGTTGGCATGCCAAGAGTAGAGGGTCTACGCGGTCCTTGGGGACAATTCTACGTGGTCCTTCGGGACATATATGTATTCTTTGGAACATGTATGAGGTCTTTTGAGACACATACTTGATCCTTGGTATATGTATATGATTCTTAAGGAATTTCTATGTGGTCCTTATGGACAAATCTTATATGGCACTACGGTGCATTTCTACGCGGTCCTTCGGGACAAATTCTACATGACTCTTCGGTGCAATTTATACGAGCTGTGGTAAATAGATTGATATGTAAGGTTAGACAGCTGGGACAACATTACTTCTACAACTACCAGATCAGAAGAAACTGAAATATTATGTATTATTATGTGATAAATAGATTGATATGTAAACAAAGTCATTAAATTAAGTATGCATGCTCTGATTGAGTTTGGTAATGTTTTAAACGTATTTATGTAAATGGTAATGTTTTAAATTGAAATAAAGCATTACTGTAGCAATGCATCGGTACACTGTAGCAGTGCATCAATACACAATTTATATTCGATGTTTTTGTGCATCGGTATGTTGTAGCAATACATCGGTACACTGTAGCAGTGCACAATATCAATACTATTCATACATTATAGTACTATTCATAAAAATATTTTTACCTTAAATTTGTTATAATGAAAATATAATTCAATAGTATATTATTGTATTTTCTTAATATAAATCCAAACATTATGTTATTTTGTAAGAATATTATTTTAAAAAGTCAATGTGACATCTCGAACTCGTATCTGGGTCGGGTACGGGTTGGGGTGTTACAGTTCAAGTTCTTCGTTTCCCTTGCTAGAAAGAAGATTTTCAAGGCCAAAGTTAAGCCCTATATGCCTGATTTCAAGCTTGCTTTCGAGCATTTCTGCATCCACGCGGGTGGAAGGGCGGTTTTGGATAAAATACAGAAGAAGTTGAAACTATCAGATTGGGATATGGAGCCTTCAAGGATGACTCTACATAGATTTGGGAATACTTCAAGTAGTTGCCTGTGGTATGAGTTGGCATATTCGGAGGCTAAGGGTAGGATCTCGGGTGGTGACCGGGTATTGCAGATTGCGTTAGGGTCGGGTTTTAAGTGTAACAGCGCTGTTTGGAGAGCTCTTAGGACGACTCCCATGAATGGGTCCAGAGGTAACCCGTGGAAGGGTGAAATGGACAAGTATCCGGTGAAGGTTCCTCTTTTTTATGTTTCTGTAATTTCTTTAAATACTGCAAATACCTGCATTTCCTCCGAACTAATCAAACGACATGTATCTGGAAAGAACATTATGCATTCTTTACGTTTTCAATAAAGAACCCTTCAAGTAATGGACGACTCCTAAAGAGAGTAATTATGCTATGTATTTTCATCTAATAGAAAAATAATATTAAAATTTGGAAAATATTCTTAAATACACAGAATTTAAAATTCTGAAGGTTCCACGGAGATATGAACTCGGTTTACTGAACTCAAGAGTCCAATGTCCTAACCACTCGACCATGGAACCGCCTGACTATGACTGCTATTATTAATAAATTAATCTTAGCCCAAGCTAGAGTTGGTTTTAGCTCTGTATCATCTGAAAGATAGAAAAATTAAGAACTCTTGAAAGAAAATCAAGAAATTCTTGACCATGGAACCGCCTGACTATGACTGCTATTATTAATAAATTAATCTTAGCTCAAGCTAGAGTTGGTTTTAGCTCTGATCATCTGAAAGAAAAATTAAGAACTCTTGAAAGAAATTCAAATTTATCAGAGTTTTACTTAAGAAAAAAAGGTTCCACCGAGATTTGAACTCGGGTTACTGGATTCAGAGTCCAATGTCCTAACCACTAGACCATGGAACCACTTGACAATGCCTGCTACTATTATTAACTTACTCTGAAGACTGTGTTTGATAATTCTCTAGCTTTTATGTCAATAAATTGACCCAATTGCTGCATTGCTACTTTTGGTGTTTCTAAGAAAAACTTATATCTTTTAAAAAATGGGGATTTTATTATTCAAAGTCAGCAGAGTAGTGATACTGATATATAAATTATATATTAGGGTAAAGAAAGAAAACACTGTTAATTAATTTTAGGATAAACTATATGTATAATCATTTAATTATTATATTATTTCTTTTTATTTTAATTATTGTTGTTTAATTTTGTCAATTAAATCATTTAACTATTTAAATTATATCAATCAAATCACATGTAATTAAGTATTTAAATAAATCCAATTAAATTATATTTAACATTGAAAGAAAATATTGACGTAGCAGTTAACAAAATTGATATAATTATACATTTAATCTCTAATATTTATATATTTTGTCATTTTTAATCTTTCAATTAAAAAGTGATACGTGTGAACATTAAACAAAAACATTGACATAACAATTAGTAAAGCATGTACGACACGAAGAAAAACGATTGGGCCTCCTAAATGAATTAGGAAAGTAGGGAAAATAAGCATGTGGAATAAGTCTCTCGATGCTTGCCCGCATGGATGGACTAAGAAAATGCTGGAGGGTGCGGTCACAACCCCTTTAAATTGTAAATTCTCTTATATTTTAGTTTTTTTTTGCATTTTTTTATTAATTATCTATTTCATATTCTCTAAAATTTTATAACTTCGTACCCACTACAATTTTTTATATAACTTCTTAAGTTCACATTCCATAGTATAAATTCATACCTTCGTTCTTGGTTGTCTGCCCTCATCCCATACGAACAAAATATCGACCTCCTTGTCATTTTCTGATCAACATTCGGCCTATTCCCATTTACATCGCCTACCAGCTGCCTCTATTCCTAAGCAACAAGATGGAAAGGAGATAACTAGATCGGATGTGGTGTGGGCTCTGAAGAGAGCAGTCACTTAGAAAAAGATGCCAAGGGAAAGAAGGGGCGAGTTTCTAGAATTTCAGAAGGAAATGGACATATAAAATTTTAGGGGTAAAACTATATTATTAATTAAAAATATAAAAAAGAGTCTAAAATATATGTTAATCTAAAATTTTTAAGAGAGAAAAACTGCATCCATGATCAGCAATAGATCGAGGGGGAGCGGGTGGGCGCAATCGCCTTCCTGAAAATTTAAAAGTACCATAAATTTTAATTTTTTTTCTATGTATTTTCTATAGAAAATTGGTTTCACCCCTGAAATTTTAGTTCTCCCCCCAACATGAAATCCTGTGTTCGTCCCTGTCCATGATCACAAAGAAGGGACAGCATTGAGTACATAAATGGTAGAGCCTTGGAGATGTTTATATTTCTATAACTTGTGTTTAGTTTTAATTCAAGCTGTTAATAAAGTTTAAACATTCAAGTTGGGCCTGAAACTTAAAACTCCAGTCACCAAATTGCATAATTTTCTTGTCCGTCTTTTTCCTTGTTCATACCCACTTGGGTTTTTGGTGGTAAGAATTTGGCCCTCATTTGGTCGTTGAAGTATTTAGGATTCTTTCATGTTCGTTAGCTTTTTCTGCCACCAATATCCCTTTGGATATTCAATCAGTTTTATACCTTAGCAATCTACCATAAAACAAATTTCCAGAAAAATTCATCCACTTCGACCATTAAAACAGCTCTTAAATATATACACATACTCGTGATGGTCTCAGCTACTGAATTTTGTTGTGAAGGCTTGAGCGCTTCTCAAATGCTTTAAAGACGGAATATAAGGACAAGCAAAAATAATAAAAATGGGGAAAACAAGATGGGTGCGCCAAAAATTTGAGATTTTCCGAAAACCAATCCAATCCGACCATATTAATTTACCACAATACGGAGTGGCGCCTGTTAATGTATAGCCCTTGAAGCCAAAAGCCAACTTTCTGTTGTTTCCTGCTAGGTAACAATAAAACAATCCACCACGTACCAACTAAACACGTCAAACAATACTAATTCAGCTACCTCTTCTAAACAGAGAAGACCTTTTAATGTTTTCATATGATGCTCCAGTTTCCTGATTCCGGCATTGTTTATGCTCCTCGATTTTGGGTTGGTTAAGGAGACCATCCAACTACAAGGTCTCCTGTTTCTGAGCAAAAGCTGCATGTCATGCCTACACCTCTGCATGAACTAATAGGGTTTGTACCTTCTACTGCGGTTGCCATCAGCGTCACCGTTATTTCCACCTCGTCCTGCTGCTACACTCGGACCATGGCTCCAATCTGCTCTTCGAGGTCGTGGGGATGGCATCTGAACTCCAGGCTGCTGGCTGCTCAAATTCAAGAACAATAAAAGCTATTGTTGAAATGTGTTGTAATCTTACTAAAAGTATTATAGTTTTAACAAAATAAGGGGACTTACAGGACATATCCTATTCGGCCATCTGGTAGAACCATCGGTACCATAGCCATATTTGTTGGCATTGGCCCTCTTCCATATATTACTGGCTGTTGATGTGCATGATTATGCATTATTTTTACCAATACGAGAACCATATCTAAGAAGAAGAAAATGATACAAATCAACTTGATTACCTGTTGAAAACTAGTAGCAGCATCAAATCCAGCACTTGCAGAGCCATATGTAGAATCTCCATTAAAACCGCCATACCCAGGATGCTGAAGATGGTTTGCATGAGGCACCGCACCATAAGTATATGCTGCATCGGTCTTCTTATCAGCCTGAGGTTTGGCAAGGACAACCTCCAAGACTTGGCCTGCATTCAAGTCAGTCGAAACTATTTTAGGGGAAAGGCAGCGATTATAGCATATACTGAAGGAAAAAATTGATTTAAATAAACCAACTGTAAGCAAATCCTGATAAAATGGAAAGTTGTTTTTCCTTATATATTTCATAAGGCAATACACTTACAAGGACACTCTGATTCCATTAGATCATAATTAATTAATTTCTCATCTTCATTAGAATCCTCAATAAATGCATAAAGAAATGTTATCACAGCAGTCTCGAAATCAGTTCACTGAAAATTGATTAGCTGAGACAGATGAACAAGCATTAAGGGTAAGGCAACCAAGTAATTTCCAAACAATCACGACATAAGTACAACAAGACACAAAACTAAGAAATATTATGATGCATACGTATTTATTTTTCATTCACATACAGTCAATTTCTTCAAAACAAATAATTATCATTAAATTTCTATTTCCACCGAATAATGTCAAAATTCAACTATTCAAGCCAAAATTTAAACAAAGAGATGCAATACTCATTCAGAAGGCCCAAAGTATTTCAACTCATATTTACAAGCTTGCATTCAGTACAGCATGTTACAGAGCTTATAAATGGGAAGCTCTTACATAAGGTAGTAAATAACTTCCAAGAAGTTAAAGAGAAAAAAAGAAGAGAGTGGGGAAACGCAAGAGAAAATTACCATCTATTTCAAATTTCTCAGCATCTTTGACAGCCTTCAAAGCACTTGACCTTTCAGCGTAATGTATAAACCCAAAATTCCGCTTACCGGCTTTGCCAGGTGGCATAACCACTTTTATTACTTCCCCATGGCGCTGAAATACTTCCTTTAGTTTCTCCGTAGAAGTGTTATCGGGAATGTTTTTGACATACAGTGCCTTCACCTAGTAATTTCAAAACATGTAACACAGTACAAGAATCTTGATATGAAGATTAGCTCTTTGATTAGTATGCTTAAAACAGGAGGCTGCATACATCCAATTAATAGCATTTAGCAATTAATGATCCAAACAAAAGCTAAAAAGGTTTTACCCCCAGCTTTAAGAAAGAGGGGGTTGCGGGGACAAAAGAGCCATAGAAGAATCCCAATGGTGGTTCCACAATATGGCACTTCAAAATAAATTTGAAAATTAGAATTACCTGCGAAGCAGCAGAATTTTCCGGTGTACTCTTTGGATCAGCCCAGGTGACAGTAGGGTTATTGCCATCCAGCTTAAAATTTGCATTTGCCATTTTCTGCCTTGAATAATCAGCGCATGCATTGTTGTAGTACAAGGCAAAAGCAAAACCACGATTACGGCTTGTATTTTGAGGATCCTGCAATTCACAAATTAAAATGGTAAGTGGATTTCCAAATATTCACTTACCATAAACCAAAAGCATCATCTAGAGAAAAAATCAACCTTTATTAGTTCTATATTTTCAACTCCGGGACCAGCACTCTCGACAGCTTTTCTGAACTCATCCTCAGTCAAGTTCTTAGGAACATTACCGACAAATAATCTGTTCTTAGTTTCAGAGAAAGAACATCTTATAGTTTTACCCTGCAGAGATTATTGAGCATATTAAAAAGAATACCAAACTACATTGTAAAGCAGCAATGGAGGTGAAAGATTGCATCAGCAAGCAAATGCAAGGGACACCAAAATTACCTT